TGAACTCGACGAGTTGGATGAACAACTCGGCGAGTCCGATGAAGATTGTCTTGGGCTCGGCAAGTAGCATGGTGACTCGGCGAGTTGGCAAGTTATGCAAGGAACTCGGAGAGTAGTTGAGGGTACTCAACGAGTTGAGGTCAACATGGACTGTTGACCTTGATAGTTGACTTTGACTTTAACCAAGGGTTGAATGTTTTGACTTTTGAGGATAATTGGTAAGTGGGTATTTATGAATTTGATCTTTGATGGTTATAGGTGTTGGAGTTTGGGGCAGTGTTTTGGGAGTGTGATTTTGTGGTTCAGTATGGCATTGAAAGGTGAGTTATCATCACTATATCAACAGGGTCTAAGGCACCACGGCCGACCCCTTTTCTCGGATTGTATACTTGTATTTCTTTGATATGCTTATTGATTTGTTAGATCGAAGTCCTAATAAATTATGATGGTATTATGTTAGTGACCTGGTTTAGGTCGGTATCCTGGTATATAAGATGATGCTATGTTAGTGACTGGTTAGGTCGGTACCCCGGTTATTGGGATGTTGCTATGATTAGTGATCTGTTAGATCGGTTTGACTGTTATATGATATGAGTTAGAGTATGATACTTAGGTGCACATGTTTGTTTGGTTAGGGGTTAGGTTGAGGCGGTCCTGCTTTATGTTGTAGGCCAACATACCCGGTGAGCGGTCCGGATAGGCTGCAGGCCCTGCAAGGCTGTCCAGTCATGCTGAAGGCTCGGGAGCGGTCCAGTCAGGCTGGAGGCTCATTATGCATGTTGTTCAGTCTGAAGGCTCATTATGCATGTTGTGCTGTATTTTTCGATATGCTTATGATTATGATTATGGTTCTATGAGTTTGGTATTTTGGGGGTAACTCACTAAGCTTTCGGCCTTACAGTTTCAGTTTATTGTTTTAGGTTCAACGGATGGCTGCGGGTAGGCGAAGGCGTGACCGTACACTTCCTCGATTGACGATTATGATTTTTGGGAACTCTGATGTATAATCTATTATGAAAACAAATTATAATAATTGAATGGTTTCAAATTATTTAAAAAGTTTTAAATTTGCTGGAATTTTATGGGTGTTACTAGTTAGCAGTTTAATTTCGGGTCTGTCCGTTGAGAAATATATGGAGGATGGTAAAAAAAAATAGAATATTTATGGGAATGGTTACAAACTGATGAATGGAATGATTTATTCTAGAAGGTATCAGAATGTAATGGATATGAATACCGCTTTCGAAGGATTTGCAGTTGGAATTCATTCCTCCAAATTGTGGGTTATGAATGTTGTTCCTACTTCCGCTGAGGCAAATACTCTTGGAGGTTATTTACGAGTGTGGCCTTATTGGCATGTATCACAACTAGTATATAATATACAAATATTTTAAAACTTAAAATTTATTAATTAAAAATTCATTATTAAATTAGAAAAGCATTAGTGAACTAATAAAATAATATTGCAGATGTGAACTGTTTTCGACGAATGCAAAGAACATGTAGTAAGCACATTGTTCGTATTTAGTTGTTCCATTCGGTTTGAGATTATAGACTTTGAAAAAAAAAAGATAATAAAATCTCATGATTTATGATCTTGAGTTTTTGCATGAAAGGGTCTTAAATGTATTAAGGTTGTGAGCATGGGTTTTACTATCATTCACCACCAACTATAATATCCTTAACCGACTCTATTTCTCATTTTTTATATATATTTTTATTATAGCTTGCCACTTTCATTTTTTTCGTATTAAAACATTCTATTTTCCCCAAATATAATTTCAATGTTTTGGGCTAAATACAAGAAATAGTAATGTACTTTCATTTAATTATGTATTGTAGCATTTTGCTTTCAGTAGACATTCTTTTCCTCCAAATTACAATGTTGTAATAGGGAAAAATGAAAGTTGGATTTTACCATAATCAGATGAATAGAAGTGCATTGATATCTCTTACATTTAACTTTTGAATTGTTGGATATAATTAAGAAAGTTTTGTTCTATTTTATTACATGCTTATAAGGGACAAATTAGAAACTACAATAATATAAACTTCAAAAAACAAAACTACATTATAATTTCTTGCATATAGCCCAACCATGGTCTAAATGCAATAAAACAATTTTTTTTCTTTTCTTAATATATTACTTGATGTATGTAATATATGAGTTAAATGCAGAAAATAGCAATGGACTTTCATTTTCCTTTTGTTACAACATATTATTTTCCTTTCTTATTTGCTAGGGCTTACATTGTATTTTTTAGGGTAGAGAATGAGAATCAAATGATAACAATGCAATGTTTAGATTTTTTTACCATGTTTGTAAATGGGTGAATTGCATAGAATAGGAACATACTTTGCTGTGGCTACCAGTTAAGGCAATAAACTATGGTTACACACAAACAACTTTTAACCCCCGCAACGCGGGGGGAACATTTCTAGTTATGATTATAATTATGATGTTTGTAAATAGTAAAACACAAAACTTGATATTATATAAGGCCATCCGGTATGGGGGCATCGAACTACGTGTGATGTCCTATGTGGAATAGTAGGCTACACGTGAACACCGCCCCAAAGATGGGTGGGTGTCTTTTGGCATGGTACCCACTACGGAAGAAGACGATGGATTTGATTGGTGGAGAATTTCTTTGTGTCTATCTCTCTCTACAATCTCTCTCTCTTCTTCACCACCACTTCACTAGTGAACACCATTTCCATAACCTAGTGGGTTGGTTGTGGAATGGTTAAAATAATGGTGTGGCCTTTTTTCCTTCCCTTCTCACGTGTGAGGATACCTATCAGCCAAATATATTTACGCTAAACAAGAACAATAAACCTTTTACTCGGAAAATAATTAGGCCCCTTCTAAACATGTGTTTTTTTGGTCTCGTGTCATTGATTACAAACAAAACAAAAACTAACGACATGATAATCAACATTCAACGAACATGCTCTTTCAAAAAAAACACGTAACAAACGTAATGTATGATGTGATACATTTCACAGGCCCAATGTTATTTGCTCCTCCTTGATAAGTCTATTTTATGAATGTGTTAAATTGTCATAATTATGTTGAATTGATGTGTAATTATCCAATAATGGCACTAATTTGATGAGTTTTTGAACTTCATATGCAGTTCATATATTGTACTAAAAGTGGGCGGAACCTGCAAGTAAAACGAATTGCTCAAGGAATTAAGAAATGTTGTCGGGAAAGTTGCCCACTCTTCATTGTTTTGATCATATCTCAAGTTCTGGAGCTCCGATTGACATGACTAAAGAAGTTCTGGAAACTAGACAAGATTTGCTACAACTTTCGTGTTTTGTGTTTCTGCTAGTTATGTCGTTTTGACCACCAACACTTGCACGGAAGATGAAGGATGCCTCAAGGCGTCTAAGACGTCCCCTATGACGTCCAGGTCAAACGGTCAGCATTTGGTCATTAATTTAGAGCAGATAACAAGGAGGAACCCCCGTTGGCGTCTTACATGGTGTCTAAGACGTCCCCTAGGACGTTTGGGCGTTTTAGGGACGTTTCGAGTTGGAACGGTGTGTTTCGGAAAGTTTAGAAAACAAGGAGTAGCGTCCTAGAACGCGTCTAAGACGTCCCCTAAGACGTCTGACGTTTTTGGCCAATTTTTAGTGTATCTCAAGGACGACAGATGGCATGCAAGGACGTACAAAGAACGCATGGGCGTTATACACGACGTCTAAGACGTCTCCTAGGACGTCCAACGTCCCACATCGCTCAGTTTCATTATTTTTTGTCTCACACTATAAATTGGGATGTGTGCATTCGTTTTTAGGGTTCCCACCTGTGATTTTCAGAGTTTTCCCTACGTTTTTAAGACTTCTAAAACCATTGGAAACATTTGGAAACACAAATCCATTCCATTTCAATCCGGATTCAAGGCAAGATTCGATTCAATTCATCATCAAGCAACATTTGAAGATCATTCAATCGGTGATTCTCATCAATTTTAGTAACTTTCATAAACGATTACTTCTTCACAAGGTTTATTTGTTCCATATTTTGATAATCATTAGGTTACAATTGTTGGATGATTTTAAGTTTGTGTGTGAATTCTATTATGCATTTCAATCATTCCATCAAAGTTATTGTTTTTATGAATTTAATGGAAGGCTAAACCGCTAGGGTTACTTCCAGGGATGTTTATGACTTTTGGATGAACACACTTGATTATTAATTGATTCTAATTAATTCCAATTGTTATTTTATGCTTCACATGATGATCTTTTGGTAATAACGATTGAAATTGGGTTGTATGAAGTTGTTTGATGTCATAATTAAGATAGTTTATTGCCAATTCATCATTTGTTCCAAATTCAATTAGTTTAGGAATCAAGACAACTGATTGAATCAACATATATTATTCCAATTTATGATATTGAATCTCAATATGGTAATAGGTCGTTGTAAGACATTTTATTGCTAGTTCACTAATTGTTCCCATTTCTTTTAGACATAAAGGAGTAAGACAATTAGTTGAATGAACATACTATGTACCCAAACTATGTGTTCCAAGTTAATAAACCAAATTACATCTAAGTAATTGAATTAGGATTCTAGGGAAGAAAGTGTGTGAATCTAAACTGTCTATAACTGAACTGGGAGTACTCTAGTTTTCTCATTGAGATTTTTATTTTTAATTAATAAAATTCCAAGCTTTTGTTTGAATTTTGTTTTAATCTTTTTTGTGACAATTGATAGTAATATTTTACTTTTTATTGACTGCTTAGACACAAAGTTTAACCACGAACTCCTTGTGGATTCGACCCGACTTACCATATCTACTTAGGTTAGTTGGTTTATTTTTGACCGATACAACGACCTCGATCAAAATTTGGCGCCGTTGCCGGGGAGATTGTGCGCTTGAGCTATTGTGTTTAAGTAGTTATAGTCTTTTACTTTCATTTTAAATTCTCGTTTGCAGTTCACATTTTGTTTTATTTGTGTTGTGCAGGCACGCCGGTGCATGCATACGAGACATAGCGGACTCTCTTCACCGCTTGCATTTGATCCGGAAATCGAACGAACAGCTCGCTCAAATCGAGTCGCCAAAAGGAACATCAACACTATGAGTGTAGATAATGTTGTTATGGAAGATGTGGTCGAGGGGCGTGAGGATGCAGCCAACAATCCTCCACCACTAGTTCCACCACAAGCTCCTCAATTCCCAAACAACAACAATGGGAATAATGGGAATAACAACAATGTTGGTGCACCAATCATCCAACCAGTGCAACCACAACCAAATAGAAACAACCATGGCCAAAATGGTGGGAATGGAAGAAATTGGGCACAAAATATGGGAGGCAATGTAGGAAACCACAACGGTGGTAATGTTAGAAATCAAAACCAAAATCCTAGAAATGTTGGTCCTCAATTCGGTAATGGTGGTAATGGTGGTAACAAGGATGACCGGGACTTTGATGATGTAAGTGACAACGGACATGGCTGGAATCAGAACCACAACGGTGGTAACACGCGAAATCAAGGCAATTGGGGTGGAAATGGGAACTACAACAATAATTGGAACAACCAGAATTTCCCCAATGGTGGCAACAATGACTACAATGATGGATTCGGAAATCAAGGCTTTGGGAATCAATATCGAAGGAATCCAAATGGTGGATTCAATAATGCAAATGGAGGATACTACATCGAAGGTAACCAATTCCCTCATCTTTATTTTCCACAGCCTAATAGACAATCTATGGCGTCTCATTTTCAGCCGAGAGAGTATGATGATGCTTCACCTATACTCTTCGCGGAAGGAAATGAGCATCATGTGGAAGTAAGACCACAACTAATTAGTGTCTTACCCGTCTTTAGAGGCCATAAAACTGACGATCCATACAATCACCTTTATGAGTTCCTTGCAATTGCTAACGTGAATACTCTGCGAGGACCTAATAGATATTCATTTAGACTTCACTTATTTCCATTCACTTTAAAAGAAAAAGCTAAGTATTGGTTCACTTCTCTTGCCCCCCATAGTATTAGTACTTGGGAGCAATTAAAAACTAAATTTTTGCAAGAGTTTTACCCTGCTAGTAAAACAACAGAAATAAGAAAAGCTATACAAGATTTTGCACAAAAACCCAATGAAGAATTTCATGATGCATTTGAACGCCTCAAGGAATTGTTGCGTTCATGCCCCCATCATGAATTTCCCCGTTGGAAACTTGTACGTTTCTTATATGATGGAGTCGACATTGCCAATCAAACCATGATTAATGCCTCGTCTGGTGGCACTATTATGATGGAAGATAGTGAAGACGCTTAGCGATTCTTGGAGCAGTTGAGTCATGGTTCAAAAACCAATTACTCAGCTAAGAAACCGGACAACCCAGTTTTATCGGCTGCTTCAGTTGGACTAGACAAAAACTGGAAAAATGAAGTCAAATCTGATATTAATACTTTAAATAAAAATTTTGACTTACTACTCTCTAGTCTAGGCAAAAGAAAGGTGTGTTTTTTTCGCAGGGACAGAAGATATGTGTAAGTTGTGGAGATTCATGACACATTGCAGATCATTGCATGAGAAGTCAAGAGGAAATCAGTCAAGTGCACGGCTATAGTCAATTCCAAAATAATCCACGATCATTCAATCGGAACTACAACCAAGGTGGGAACCACAACAACAATGGGAATTTCAACAACAACAATCATCAAGGGAATTACCAAAACCAGAATCAGGCAAAACAGTTCCAACAGTCCAACTTTAACCAAGGTGGAACATCAAAGCAGGAGGAAACAGATAGCAACAAGTTGGACAAAATCATGGAGTTTATAACTCAAACATACCAAAAAGCTGACACCAACTCCAAATCCATAGCTGCTATCGAGAAGCAGATTGCTCAACTGGCGGAGCAAATTGGGAAAAGAGAAGATGGCAAGTTTCCAAGCACCACAACAGTCAACCCATCTCACACCCAAAGACCCAGAAAAGAGCATCAAGTGAACGAGGTAATCACGTTGCGTAGTGGGAAAAAGGTTGACAACAAGGTAAGTGCTCCTACCTTAGATAATGACAGTGACACTGAGGTCATCTTTGACGAAAAAGAAGAGTTGGAGAAAGATTTTAAACCTGCAAAAAAAAACTATCTAAGGGTAAAAATGACTTTAAAGTTGGGGAGCATGGTGTGGAGGTTAATATCGCACCACACCCTTCGGCTTTAGAGAAACCGGCATCTTTCCCTTTTGGGAAGCGAGGGCCGATAATGTAAGACATGTGGGATCTATTTAGTCAAGTTAAAATAAATATCCCGTTAGTCAAACTTATTAAGGAAGTACCTTCTTATGCTAAATTTTTGAAGGATTTGTGTGTTCAAAAACGCAAACTCCAATCAAACCTCCCTAAAAAGATTGATTTAACCCAGCATGCAAGTTCCATAATATCAAATAAACTTCCACCCAAGCTTAAGGATCCTGGAGCACCTTTAATTTCTGTTACCCTAGGTAACATTAATATCAAAAAGGCGCTCCTTGATCTTAGAGCTAGTGTTAATATAATCACAGGAAATCTTTTTGATCAACATGACTTAGGCACTTTGGAACAAACTGATATTATTTTGCGATTGGTTGATAAGTCAATAAAAATTCCCCGGGGGTGTATTATCAGATGTCATCATTAAGGTGGAAGATTTTTATTACCCAGTTGATTTTCTTGTTCTTGACACTGATAGCATCCATAAAGAAAGTCAACCTTCTATTACTTTGGGTTGCCCGTTTTTGGCAACAATAAATGCACAAATTAATTGTAGAACGGGTGCCATGGATATCTCTTCTAGAAATAGGAAACTTAGAATTAATATTTTTAATACGTTTCCTAACTCACCATCAGATTATGAATGTTATCGTGTGGGTGTAGTTGATAACTTAGTGCATCAATTCACTCCCAAAATCTTACACTCCGATCCGTTGGAGCATTTTCTTTCTAATGACAGGGACGAAGTGTTAGACTTGGAAGACATCAAGATGGTTGAGGAAGCATTTGAAAATGCTATTGAAAAAGAGAGGCCACCATGGAGCCATCAAGTTGAAAAATTGCCAACAAGTTTTTCGGACCCACTTAATCCATCTTTGGAGGAGCCACCCACTCTTGAACTTAAAACTCTTCCTTCACATCTTAAATACTCCTTTTTAGGATCTAATGAGAACTTACCAATTATCATATCTTCTGATTTGACAGGTCCACAAGAGGAAGCATTACTGAAGGTGATTTCCAAGTACAAGGGAGCAATTGGATGGACCATAGTTGACTTGAAGGGAATTACTCCAGCCACATGTATGCATCGAATCATCACTGAAGCTGGAGCAAAGCCATCCCGAGATGCACAACGCAGGCTCAACCCAAATCTGCGAAAAGTTGTTAAGAAGGAGGTGCTGAAATGGCTCGATGCGGGTATTATCTACCCAATATCTAATAGTGATTGGGTGAGCCCGACACAGACAGTGCCAAAGAAGTCGGGCATTACAGTGGTAGATACAGAAGATGGAGAGAAGATCTCAACAAGACTGGTCACGGGATGGAGAGTTTGCATCAACTATCGCAAACTCAATGCTGCAACATCAAAGGACCATTTTCCTCTCCCTTTTATTGATCAAATAATTGAGAAATTGTCTGGTAACAAATTTTATTGTTTTTTGGATGGATACTCGGGGTATAATCCAATTGCCATCCACCCCAAGGATCAGTCCAAAACCACATTCACGTGTCCCTATGGCACTTTTGCTTTCCGAAGGATTCCATTCGGTTTGTGTAATGCCCCTGCCACATTTCAAAGATGTATGATGGCTATTTTTTCAAACATGGTGGGGGATGCCTTAGAAATTATCATGGATGATTTTTCTATTTTTGGATCATCTTTTGAGACATGATTTACTTTTAAATGACGCACCATTTTCCTTTGATAAAGCATGTCTTGAATCTTTTACCAAATTAAAGAACAAACTTGTTGAAGCCCCTATCTTGCAATCACCCGATTGGACTTTACCTTTCGAAATTATGTGTGATGCGAGTGATTACGCGGTAGGGGCAGTTTTGGGACAACGGGTGAATAAAAAACCCATTGCAATTTGTTATGCGAGCAAAACTTTTTCGGATGCACAATTGAATTACACTACTACCGAAAAAGAGTTGCTTGCGGTCGTGTTTGCACTTGACAAATTTAGATCTTACAAATGGGGATCTAAAGTTGTAATTTTTACCAACCATAGTGCCATTCGCCACCTCTTGGAAAAGAAGGATGCCAAACCACGTCTCATAAGATGGATCCTTCTTCTTCAAGAGTTTGATCTTGAAATTCTGGACAAAAAGGGTTCCGAAAATGTTGTGGCGGATCATTTATCTAGAATAACTAATAATGATAACGCAACGGAAGTTATTCAAGAAAACTTTCCGGATGAACATATTCTTGCTATCAAAACTATATCATGGTTTGCTAATTTAGTGAATTACTTTGTGACAGGGGAAACTCCATCGTATTGGAAGGCTCAACAAAGTAGGTTCTTCCACTCTCAAACAAAATACTACATATGGGAGGACCCGGATCTTTTCAAAATTGGAGCGGATCAAGTGATTAGGAGATGTGTACCACATACGGAGCAAGAATACATTCTTCGACACTCCCATTCATATGCATGCGGAGGACATTTTAGTGCCAAAAAGATAGGGCACCGAGTTCTACAAAGCGGTTTTTTCTAGCCCTCTATTTTTAAAGATGCACATACATTTGTTAAAGCTTGTATTCATTGCCAACAAGTTGGGGGGTCTCATGACGGGACATGATGCCAATGACCCCAATATTAGTAGTTGAAAATTTTGATGTATGGGGCATTGACTTTATGGGCCCGTTCCCCACTTCTTTTGGCAATCTATACATTCTTGTAGCCGTTGATTATGTATCAAAATGGTTCGAAGCCGAGGCTACACGCACGAATGACCATAGTGTTGTTTGTAAATTTGTTAAAAAGAACATATTTTCTAGACACAGAATCCCTCGAACTATTATTAGTGACAGGGACTCCCATTTTAAAAATTGGCATTTTGCAAAGTTACTTAAATACTATGGTGTCACTCATAGGATTGCTACTCCATATCACCCACAAACAAGTGGACAAGTAGAGGTGTCAAACAGGGAAATAAAACGCATCTTGGAAAAGACTGTTCGTCCTGACTGAAAAGATTGGTCCCTAAGATTAGATGATGCATTATGGGCATATCGAACAGCCTATAAGACGCCCATTGGAATGTCCCCATATCGGCTTGTTTATGGGAAGCCATGCCATCTCCCGGTGGAGTTGGAACACCGTGCCATGTGGGCCATAAAAAATGCTAATTTTGAATTGAGTGATGCAGGTACAGAAAGAAAACTCCAACTTGTTGAATTGGAAGAAATTCGAAAGGAAGCTTACGAAAGCTCAAAAATCTATAAAGAAAAGACGAAAGCATTTCACGATCGACACATTGTCCGGAAACAATTCTTTGAAGGACAATTGGTGTGGCTATTTAACTCTCGTATCACTCCTCCACCTAAAGCCTTTCCACCTATCGCAAATTCTCCAGAATTTCCATCGAGTCCAAGTGGTAAGAACTTAGAGTTGGTTCTAAAAATATAGTATTCACTAATTTTCATAACAAGTGTGGTATTGATATTTTTCATTCATCACATGCTATTTTAGTTTTAAGAATGATTGACATAATACCAACAAAAACGACTACTAGGGTATCTAGAAATACGCCAGAGGCATTTGCACCTACACGGTTGCTCGATCAGGACCTAGAATCACTTCAGAGATCAGACCATTGGTTACTACAACTTTGGCTTCGAACCGGTTGTCTGTCTCATCAACTATTGTTTTACTAGTGATACTAGCAAACTACTATTTTTGAATTTTGTTAAAAAAAATTGCAATTGTAAGGTGTGCCTTGAAGACATAGTTTTCATAAATTGTGACATTTAAATTTTATTTTGGTCTAATTCCGAAAAAAAGGCCCAAAAATAATGGAAAGAAAAGTCAAACTTTGTGAATTTGGTGGATTCCAAAACAAGTTTATCGTTTTACATTTCTACTAAATTTCTCGGTCCCATTTCAATTTGGAAGCTAAGATAACCAAATGTTTTTCGGTTTCAACACTCAACCAAGAGACATTTTATCATAGACATGTTATCATACAGATGATCCCGAAACAAGATTGTCACTAAGAAAAACAATATTACTAGTAACAAAGTAACCATAAAATAGACCCACAAATTTCGGTGCATAGAAGATGGATATCATTTCCGTAACTTCATATTTTTCCATGTGAGAGACCTAATGTCTCATCCGTCATCGCCAAAACCAGCTATTTAAAAACACTCGATTTTCGGTTTTTCCAAATTTCAGCTTATATTTTATTTTGTTTTATTATGTTTATATGCAAGAAATCCATATATCCTATTTCTATAACTTTGTTTTTTTTTTCCATGTTTGTTTAGAGAATTAATTATGGGAAATTGATGTCATTTTAAATTATAATCACCTTTTTCAAAAAAAAGATGTCAATTTAAATTTTTAGAAATCGGACAAAATTATCAAATTTAGCTCCCCTCTATATTATGGTTTTATAAGTTTTTTTTTTTTTTTGCATCTGGAAATTAATAAACTTGTTTCCCTTTGGAGTTCTTGAACATTTCTTTTAATAAACTTTTTTCCTTTTGGAAGTTCTTCATCATTTCTTGTTCTTACTTCTTCCTTAGTCACATTAAAATAGTGCAAAATGGGTTTTAAAAGAAATATATCCATATTGTTGCATAATGATTTATGGGCGTTGTTCATAAATATATGTTAGATATCATTTTACTATTTTTCAGCTAAATTGTATGTTGATGTAAATCACACTTCACAATCCGCTTTATTTTGATGATTAAAAAACCGAAAACCATAAGTAAATTAATTTTTTAACAAAGAACTCAAAGTTTGTTGCATTCCGTAAGAATTGATAAATTTAACAAGTCGAGTGAAAAATTAAAGTAAAAAATCAATTCAAATCAAGACTTTGATATAACCAGTTAAAGAAATTTCATTATAATAAACAAGTTATCTAATATTATTTCAAGTTTTAAAACACAATCATTTTATATATTATGTCTCATCCAAATAAAAACATCATTATCTAACATTCCCAATAACATTTA